CCGGCTCTTCGGGTGCCCGCTCGCAAGAGAGCAGCCACCCGGCAACCCCAAACTAATTAGCTCCTCCCCCCAATAATAAGGCCCAAGCAACTTTTTTGGGGGGGGGGTTCAAAAGAAAATAAGACCCTGTCTTATTTTCGGGGAAACATGGTAACTATCTCTTGGATTTGCACTTGTTCAAATTGTTTCAATGCATTTCTCAATTCCAAAAAGCATTCCAAAACACTTGTCAATAAAACACTCCAATAGGATAATTAAAATGACAATGCAAACTAAATTAATAGTAAGAAATTGCATGTTTTGCTCTGATTTAAAAAAAAATAGTGGAATGAATTCAATTAAATTATCTGCTTATTTGTACCTCTTATCAGAGGGAAGGGAAATTTTTAGATTTGGGTCTATTCTGCTTTTTCTCTATCCACCAATTGAAAGCTATATGTTGAAAATTAAAGAAGGATCAATGATCAGCATTTGAGTTTAAAGGCCTGTCACACAACCCTATTCTTTCGTAATCTCAGTAGTACAATTTAGAGTTAGAGGAGGCATTGTGTAGCTGCTATTGTTAATTAACTGGGAGTCAAAAATGCTTAATGATCATCTTGTAACCATTCCAATATCTGCTTATAAATCTTGGTCTCCCTGGATCGGCTTTTGAGATTCCTGTATGACCTGTTAATAGCCACAATAGTCAGCCAGATATCCCAGTGGCTGTAATCCTCATTTTTGTGGCAAAATTAGCCTGGGAATCTGTACTTTGGAGCAGAAAACAAGAGTTCCAGAACCCAGCAATCGTGGACAAGTCTCACTGATTTTCTGTCATTCTACCATCTACTGTCCTGCCCGCAACTTCAGAAGGAGCCAAGAGAGGACAAAGCTGAGAAAGAAAAGAGGTTTTCCTACACATTTCAGGAGTGGAAAAGGCAACTTAAGGCTCTTTGAAGAGAGGAGGCACTGGAGAAGATCTGCTACATAAAAAGGCAGCTGCGTCCGGAGCAGCATACAGCAGTGTATTCCATCAATCTGGCAGGCTGTAGTTGGGATATTTTCAAGTTGTGTCCCAGTTGCTTACAAATGCTCACTAAGGAGAGAAACAAAGGTTACCCACATGCTCAATTGTCTGTTTACGACAATTACATTTGATGCCTTGGAAATGACAACACTAAACAACTCATAAATCCAATGCAATCCTCATTTTAGTTCCAATAGGCAGCTAGCTTTTTTCTTTTCAGTTCGCACACCAAACTAGCAAATGAACTTCCATAAATTTGCTTTCGAGCTGCCATGTCCAACCTACGAACTGCATGTAGCCCAGGACAGCTAGTAATGCGGCTCTGTAGGATCGTATAAAACTATTTGTAAAAATGTTATTTATATACATTAACTATCTTATATATTTTATAGGCAACTCAAAGACAATTCCTCTTCGCTCAATGGCAGCCTAGGCAAAGCAAAAGACCCATGCTTTTTAGAGCAGTGTTTCTTAAACTTGCCAACTTGACGATGGGTGGACTTCAATTCCAGGAATTCCCCAGCCAGCTATGCTGGGAGTTGAAGCCCACCCATTGTCAAGTTGCCAAGGTTGAGAAACACTGCTTTCGAGTAAGTGTGGAAAAGAACACGCCACACATTCTCAATTTATATCTTTCTCTTACACAAGAGCACACGGCTGAAGTGAAGCAGACAGTGTAACCCACCTGCTTTGGGGACAAAAGANAAAAAAAACAGCGGTCACAGATTTCTACAAATAGAAAGAGTCACCCCTTAAGGCCTGTCCTCATTAGTAGTCCTTAGCAGGGTTCAATTTTTATGGTGGCAGTAGAAAATGTTGCTGGCATAATAATGCATTGTCTTGACCATCTCTATCCTCCTTTGTGTTTGTTGGCCTTGCTGGGGTTTTTTGATTTAGAAAACAGTGGGATAAAGCTGTGTAAATCATGGTCTGACAAAGGTCACCCTCGTAGGGATAGGGACAAAACTCTGGTTGCTAGGCTGTTCCACTGATGCTGTAAATAACTAATAAAGGAAGGCTCTGAATTTTAATGTATGCATGTACGACCGCCAGTATCAATTTAAATACAGGACTGTTTGCATTACATTTTGGCCTGAATAATTATTTTGGTTTGAAAATTTATGGATTGCATAATTGCTGTGTTGCCCTGATGAAAAAAAAAAAGACAGTGAAATTACCACTAAGTTCCTACTTTGCAGTAAGCCATAATTTGAAGATTTCTTACCAAAGCTTTATGGAACAATAAAAGATCTACACAATCTTTCAGTGCATTTTATAAATCACCAAAACTGATTGTTTAGTGATATGGTGTGATGTACATACAGTGCTGTGTATAAAAGCTCATACATGTTCTGGTAATCTATTATCTAGGAAATAGTAAACCTGTATGAAGTCACCTTAGTTTTCTTTGAGTGAGGGAAGCACTTTGCATTAAAAAAGAAGAAAAATGTGATTTGCATCTAGAAGTTTCATATAATTCCAAATGCTTCCTCTAGTAGCTGGGATAAATTTTTGCATATATATGCAACTGATGTATAGGAGTCATTGGCTGCTATTCATTGTGTCAGAAGATCTTATTTTACCGTAGGGGCTACGTTAATTCAAGAAATTGGTTTGAAAAGTGTTTCTGTTAGAGAAGAGTTAATCCATACTTTTTCAGTTTTGCTAAGTCTTAAGAAATGTAGTACCTCTTTTTATATTTTATACTCATGGTTTTAATGTAGAGTTACTTTCTGGTTTGATCCCTGATCCTATCAAAAGTTTGATATAAGCATACAAAATTGTCAGCAGGGACATAAGAGAAAATCCTGTCAATTCAAACCACACAGTAGTTGAAAAGTTGTGATTTTTTAGATTCGTTTTGTTTTGTTTTGTCTTATTGTGTTTTTTTTCTTTGCTGTGTTTTTCCTGTTGTTTTTAAGATCAAAACATTTAATAAAAATTATTTATAAAAAAAGAAAAGTTGCGATTTTTTAAAATCATGTAATTGCAATAATAAAGAAAACCTCACTTATTCGATTTCCAGCTTGCTTGATTTCTAGCTGACATGCAAATAGAGGTAGAAGGCTTCTCTGAAAAAGAAGTTGGCAAATCTACATATTTTAAAGTTGCCAAATTTGAAAAGGACTGGCCTACAGGAATTCTAATGAATGCATACAGGAGCCTTTGAAATTCTTGAAGCTATCTAAAAACCTCTTGGCAAATTTGCATGATACAGAAGTGATGTTTACTACTTTAAATGTTTTTCTTCTGATCCTTAAAATTACAGCATGTGCCAAAGCCTTCAAAAAGTTGCAACATCTTTGAAGCTGCAGGCTTTGGTGCTTAGTAATTTACCAAGATGGCCAACATTATTCTGCTTATTTACAATGCAAAACCATGACTTTCTCTAGATGTCATTGTTAAAACTTCATTTGGAATGCTGTGAAATGATAGCAGCAGGTAGATGTGACCGAAGAATAACAGACCAGAAAAATGACTGCAGCTGGGGATATAGAAGAACTGGAAAGTCTCATTGTATTCATTGTACTTCATTATAATGTACATTTTTAATAATAATAAAAAGATAATGGGAATTCTGCAATGAATTGTATGGACACTTTCCTTTTCAACCCTTTAGGCTCACAACTCTTCCATAAGAAATATGGATTAAATATTGGGACATTTGCACATGAATAGAAAGGTTAGAGTAATAATGGACAATTGTTTGACAATTATTTGACTAACTTCACAACAAGCATGCAGAACCTTTTTAACATAGAAAGGCGTATCTCGTTTGACAAAGTACTTTTCTTCTTTCCTATTTGTCCAGTCCAAAAATGACAATGCAGGAAGAACCTCACATTTCTCAGCTCCTAGGATTTTTTTTCTTTACTGTTTTAGTACTTTAGTCACTGAAAAGGTCAGATCTAATTTTTAATAGGCTCATTTTTATGTAGGGAGCCCAGTTTAGTACTTTACATCACTGGAAAATTTGGATAGATGCAAAAAGCTCCAAATTTATGCCTGCTCAAGATTATACTTTACTGAGGCTACAGAATGCAGCCCCATGTTTTGAGTGAGGTAGCGTAGCTCAAGTCCTGCTGAGTTGTAACAGCCAAAGCCTCCATTTAGGTTCCAATACCTTTAACTTGTCACCAGAACATAATTAAAAACCCTACAACATAATATGGCTTATTTGATTTAATGCTGTGAAAGCTTATTACATGTTAGCATTACATGAATCAGTCCACTATGGTAGGGCTACAATATCCATGTGGTTTTACTCAATTTAATTGGTATCGTCATTTGACTAATTATTAACAAACTAACATATCTACGTGGCAAACATCCAAGTTTCAACCAGATAACAGCAAAAATGACCTAAGTTTTCCGTATTTTTCGCCATCTGGATATCTGCCATTTAGACCTGGCAGCCGAAATTATGGCAGGTTTAACGAAAACCCAGTTTAATTTGTTTAAAGAAAACCCAGTTTAATTTGTGCATGAACCAGGATAACGTGCAAGTCTTCATGTTCATTGGTATATACAGTAAGTTGATAAAGGAGGAAGCAAAGTTCTAGATTGCTTATCCCCGTCTAAATTTGTTCCTGGTGGCAAGCTTTATTTCATTTAATTATATGACCATCCCAACCACGTGATTTGGTTTTTACGCCTCATCCAGGTGATCCCTTTTTTAAGGGTCTTGCAGGGTCCTCACATGTTTTGGTCTGATAATGTGTCATATATTTTGTCTATTGCGATCTTTGCACTTTTGTTAGTCCCACTGACTGAAATAGGTCAAAGGATTCCAGGCTCCCTTATTTCCTCCTCCGCCTCTTTTGGACACCATGCCCTTCAGCCTTTAGGACCGGAGAGTTTGATTCCCAAACGCTGCATGATTGATGGGACAATTTCCCCGCGCCCTTCCCGGCTCCGTCAATCGCGCAGCAGACGGGAGGGTTGTGTTTTTGCATGCAAATCAGACCAAGTTCTTTGGGGGCGGGTTGAGAAAACCTCGGGGGGACTCGCGGGTCTAAGCCGCCCGAGTCCCCGCGAGGCGGCGGCAGGAGTAGCTGGGTTAGGCTTAAACATTAACGCCCTCCTGTCGAATTGAGAAGGCGGGGCTCCGAAGAAGGCCGAACACGGTGCGGGGACCGGACAGGAGGGCAAAGGAGCAGGTCGAGTTTGGAGCGCGCGACCTGGAGCGCGCCGGAGCAACCGGAGGGAAGTTTTTGGCTGCGCCGAAGCTCGGAAGCTTCGCAAGTGCTTTGTCCGCCGCCGCCTTTGGTGCGGTTCCGATAAGGTGAGTTGGCTGGGTTTAACTGGGGAAGGATTAGACTTGACATGGGGGCTTTCTGTATGTTGATATTTTGGCGGGAAAGGCGCTTGGGCTTCCTTAGTTGGGAGACAAGCTGGCAGGACCCCCCTCCTCTTCCCCGCAGAAAGTTTCCCTAGCAGACGCTGCCGTTAAAGGGATCTTGAAGGGAGGGCTGAGTTGGGGATTGTAAACACATTTTTATTGCTGAGCCGCAGGAGTTTCTCATGTTGGGGGTCTCTCTCTCTCTCTCACACACACACAAACACACACAACACCCTCCAGAAGACTACTGTAGACATTAATGTCACTGCTAACGGAAACGGTAAACTGGTATGCACCCAGTTACAGAGGAATGCATAATATAGGAATTACTCTAGTGCTCATACCAGGAGTGCGTGTTCAGAATATTCTTCTTAAAGGTGCAGTCTGCTTAATTCAAAGGCTTCAGAAGGATTACGCCGCCCGTCCTGGAAGGACAAAAGGAGGGCAAAAAATAATCTGGTTTCAGATACTGTTTATTTCGAGGGATCCTGCACAGAAGGTTTCTCACCCTCCTCTTCTTGTGCTTCATTATGTGTCATAAACGCCTTCAAACCCTATCAGAGTGCTGGAGTCCTGGAACGGTTGCAACTGTATTATGGCCTACAGTTGGATTAATGGGGATGCTGGAATTCTTGTTTATTGAGCTCCCTAGTACTAACTCTGTAATGTTGTACATGTTTTCCCACAAGTTCCATGGCGCTGAAGGGGTCTTATCCTCAAAACAGGCCTGGGTTTTCTCAGCCTTAGGCTAAGCAATTGAGTAAACAGGGCAGGCATACTTGAGCATGGAATTGTTGGAGCAAATACAGTTCTAAAACCTTATTTTAAGTATTTTGGAGCAAATGTCCAAAAGCAAAATGTTAGTTTCTGCTATCTTTTGCTTTTAAAAGCTAAAGTTGTGTAATAAATATACAAGTTTGTAAAATATTCCTAGACTTTGTACAGTTCTGCTTATCAGATTGGGATTCTGCTGGCAGGAGGCACAAACTTTGCTGCTGAACTGCAATCTTATACATGTTAACTCAAAAGTGAATACCCTGGAGTTCATTGGTACTTTCTTCAATGTAAATTTAAGAGGATTTATTTGTCTGGGAAAGGAAGTGAAATTTGTGTAATGCCATTATTCTTTGTTGAATCAGCTTGGGAACAGGTTTGTCCTACAGTAGCTACTTTCTTAGGATTCCTTGTGTACATTTTGGGGTATATTTGAAGGTATCCCGTTCTCAAAAGCACTGTTAACATTTGGACAAATTGTACCTATTTTCTTAATAACCCTGAAATATTTGCATATTAGTATTTGAAATATGGATTGGTAGTGCTATTGAGTGAAATTATGTTTGATGGAGAAAAAAACTGTTCCAGTCTGCATAACTATTGCATATCCTACAAGGTTTCAAACTTAAAAGAAATATTTTTCTACAGAATTTATTTGTGATAGGAAATATAAAGAGTTCTTAATTTGCCTGTCTGTTGGAGGGCAGAATGTGACTTACTTGTAGATCAACAGAAGTTGATCCAATACAAATGATTACTTTTCCTTTGCTTTGCCTTATGGAACCACGTGGCTTATGTTAAATTATTCTTGGCTAGTAATCTTGTGCTGTAATTAAGTAGACCCCTTTATTTAAAAACAGTCTTGCTGTTTAACTGCATGTAGAATAAGAAACTGCCTACTTTAAATGTCTCAGAAAAACCTCAATTAGAAATTTCTATTTTTTTCCCCTATATAACCAGTCAACCTTTTCATGTTATCATGCTGGGAATAACTGCAAAAATACATTTGAAACTACCTACTTATTTAAATGTTAAATTCTGCTTCCATAGGTCTACTATTAGTATACTGTACTCACTAGCTGTAGGCCTAAAGTCTTAGAGTGTTCATCAAGCATTTATTTCATTTTATGGAACATAATTTTTCTTCTCTATTCTTTAACCACACTGATCGGAGTCTGTGGGAAGATGGAAAACACTGAAACAATTTTTTGATATTTCAATTTGAATGAGAAATATCAATACATCTGCTGATTATCCTGCATAAATGGGGCACGGGAAATTACTGTTTAAAAGAAGGATCTAGAACTTAATCCATTCCTCCCCTGTATTTTTGAGAAGCATTTGAATGGTATCCATTAGCTATGTTAGCTGCTACTGCTCAAATCCTCTTCCAACAGTACTAGGCATGCTTTGGAAATGATAAACAGTTCCTTTTTTTTATTAAAAAAAATAAAACTGAAATGATGGACACTTTCTCCTCTATCATTTCTTCCCATCAATGGAAGAATTTATTAGATTGTAGCTACTGAATGATTTTAAGTTTTTGTTTTTCCTTTTTTGTTGTGCAATAGGACATATTGCAGTCCTGTGTTGATGTTGAATTGACCTCAGTTCTGGGTAATGGATGGACAAAATGAAGTAGACTTTTCCAATAACAACATTACACCATTGTGGAAGAGAAGATCAGCGCATCGTGGGCATTTGTATACCAAGAACAAAACTAGACCACAGTCCTATCAGAGTTCCACTGGGGTCCTCTTCACAGATTTTCCTGTGGAAGACAAAGACACATTCACTTTAATGCAACCTGATGAAACAATTACTTCTCCAGACAGCAAATCTATTCAAAGACGTCCCTTGCTTTTGACCTGTAAAAGTATGCCAAACGGAAAGGTTCAGTTTCCAGAACACAGAATCTTATCTTCTACACTTTCTGATCAGACCCCACAAATCTTGAAAATGGTTTCAAATAACTCTATAAACTTTAAGTCTAGTGGTTCTATAGATTCAGCAAGCAGTAAATCAACTTACGCAAGGAAGGCCTCTAAGCAAGCATCACTTAGTCCTGAAAAGGAACGTATTGTTTTCACATCAAGCCTTGGAGTGTCGCCACCAGAAATTGGGCATTTGCCAAACAATAACACAACCATTGCCTTAGCATTACAATCCAGTCAACCTCCTAAATATTTAGAAAATGAACCTGTTTGCCTGCATGCTCCCCCAGACATTCCACATTTGCCTCTGCAAAGAATACCATCAAATCGGAACGACCAATCTGATAGGCCATCTGTGACTCTGAGCACCAATAGTCTTGCTGCATTAAAAGTGGGGAAACAGCAGCTCATCCCTAAGAGCTTAGCTTCTGAAACGAGAGTGATTGGCAAAGCTAATGGTCAGAATTCAGAGCCAAACAGCAGGGTACTTAAGGTACGCAGCATGGTGGAGACACTTGATGTTCCTTTGGTAGCCAGTGAAGATGATGAAGCAGAAGGGGATGTGGAAAGCCCAGGGATGCTAAAACGTAGCTTGAGGTCTACTTCATACCGACGAGCTGTTGTGAGTGGTATTGACTTTGATGGTATTGCCAATATTAAAATGAAAAACAAACTCTGTCAGCCAGGGCTGAAGGCAGTCATAGAAGATAAAGAGAAATTCTCTAGTTTAGGAAGAATAAAGGTAAGTAAATAAGTGAAATTATTAATAGTTTACACTCCTTGGTAGTACAGATTGGCTTATTCTGAACTTTTGCTATTTTAGTTTTTATGCTGCAAGATCAGGATAGTATTTTAACTGTAGATTAATAAGAAAAAACGTGAGAAATCTTACAGGTTTAAGGATGAGAAAGGAAATACTCATCACAATTAAGTGATAACAGCCATATCACCAAATGAATCTTTGAAATCTTCCTGAACAGGCCCTTTGCGATTATATATAATCTTACCCATTTAGGAAAAAAACTTAATAGTTTAGTATTTTTCTTAAAATGTACACATTTTAAGTTTTTATACAATTCATCACCCACTTTTCATTATCTGTGATAATCCTTTATTTACTCTGTTAAGTGGAAACTTAATTGAAACTCTGTGGCTGGAACATTACAGTGACTTCTTTATTTCATTAAGTGCTCTTAGTAGCTATCCAAAAATTTATCCCTATGGCATATGGGATGAAGTCTTGTGTCTGAGATGTTTCTCAACTCTAGCACAAGCTCTGGATACAAACCCATTTTTTTCCTCTTTGTGTTCAAAACTTGGTTAGTGTGGAGCAGTGGTGGGATATGACCGGTACGCCCCTGTATGAGCGTACTGGTGCCTGCTGGGAGCACCAAGTACCTTCCGGTACGGTGTTCCAGAGGGCCCACTCACCCGCTGTCCTTACCTGTATTTGAGCTGATCGGAGCTTCCATGCATGAAGCGTACGTCGCCTGCACGATGCTCCGCTGAGCAGCTGGAGCATCACGGGTGGTAAGTATGCACACGTGCACTGCGCGCGTGCATGTGGTGGACACCTGGCCCCGTTGCACTGTACCAGTTGCAACAGGATCCGGAACCCACAACTGGTGTGGAGTATTGTTCAGTGCAGAAATAAACTGTTGAGAGCAGTGACTTTCTGTGACCCTTTTGGCACTCTAGCTCTTATTAGGATCAGAGGTAAGCCATGTGCCTCTTATCTCAGAAAAAAACAAACTCATGCATTAATTTGCTGCGGACTGGCAACCTAAAATGTTTATATGTATAAGAATGAGATTACTTTTGATACATTTCTATTCAGATTCTCAAGTTTATGACATTGAAATGGTAAACATGATTGTTCCAGAATATGTCAATATGACTTGATTGAAGATTTGGGATTATGAGCCATGGTCGCGCAGTGGTTAGCCTGCAGTACTGCAAGCTATTTCTGTTGACTGCTGGCTGCCTGCAATTTGGCAGTTCAAATCTCACCAGGCTCAACCTTCCATCCTTCCGAGATTGGTAAAATGAGGACCCAATATGCTGACTCTGTAAACCGCTTAGAGAGCACTGTAAAGAGCTCTCTACTGTAAAGCGGTATAAGAGTCTAAGTGTTATTGCTATTATATATTTTTATTTATTATATTTATGGTGCTAATGATTTCCTGGTTGTAAATATGTGTATATAAAGTTTATATTAATTTTATTTAGGACAATCATGGAACTGACAAATGAGAGGAGCAGGATGCAAAGATGCAAGCTAATGAATTCAAACGTTTTGTGCATATTACATGTCCCATCTAGATTCCAGTGTGTGTATTTAGAATTATTTTGAGTTGGGGTTTCTTTTTAGATAATTGTATTAAGTGGCTGGATATTCTACAAATCAAATTTTTCTGGCATCTTAATTCATATTAGTCAAAAGAAACTGACAGGATTTCTTGCTATCTATTCATGTAGCACCTTTTTCATAAAGAAAAGTTAAATTTCCCAGAATTTCAAAGTCAGATAATTTGTGCAAAGGCAACATTTTATAACTAATTACAGAGTTCAACACATATACAGTGTATAAGGTTGACTCAGCCATCCATCCTTCTGAGATTGATAAAATGAGGACCCAGATTGGGTCAATATAGTGACTATAAACCACCTAGAGAAGGCTGTAAAGCACTGTAAAGCGGTATATAAGTTTAAGTCCTATTGCTATTTGACATGGTTTTTTTATTGGATATTTTTGTATATACGTTTGCCAAATCTTGACTTTACTAAAAGCAACATGTTTTTTTAATTAACAGTCCAGTCTTTTCTAGTCCCCAAGGAAAGCTGTCCACCCAATATATTTTTTTTAAATATCATAATCAAACCTACCTGGGACTTCAGAGATTTTATGCAGGAAATGTATGCATTAAACCAGAGGTGTGAAACTCAAAGCCCATGGGCCAGATCTGGCCCATGGGGTGGTTAGATCTGGCATGTGGGGCCACCATGGAAACAGCAAAGGACTAGCTCACGGTGCGTCTGCCAGCGAAAACAGAGCTCAGGAGGGCCGTGGGATGCCTTCCCAAGCTTTGTTTTTGCTGGCAGACGGTTGCCGGGGGCGATCACAGCCAAAAATGGAGCTTGAGAACCCATTTTCATTGGCAGAGCACTCAGGTACCCCCAACACAAATGATATCAAGCTGGCCATGCCCACCATGGCCATGCCCCTTGCCCTCCTGAAGTCAGACACAACCCTGATGCTGCCCTCAATAAAATCGTGTTTGACACCCCTGTATTAAACACTTAAAAAAAACAAAGAATTTGAAGATTTATTTTTTAAAATTCCATCTTGGAATGTAGAGATCATCTGAAGAATGTTAGGGTTTTCTTTTAGTATCCCTGATCCACTGTGTGGTTTGTTTAGTTTTAGCTTAATGTGTTGTGCGGCCCAGCCATTCTGTGTTGCAAGTTATGATTATCTCTTAGCAAGATGCATAAACCTAGCTCGTCATTTAACACTCTGATCATGACTGTTATATCCTGTTCTTTTCATTTCAATTCTTCTATTGAAACTGAATGAAGTAAATTGTGATGCAAGAGGTCTTTCTGTCAATCCAGCCTTCATCTGATTGCTAACCTGTTACTTTTGACCTTTTATGTAACTCTGGGAGCATGGAGAATCTGCTTGGTGGAGGTGGAATAGGAAAGTCTATTTAAGTCAATCCTGTTTCATGTGTCCAAATTTTTATCCAATTCCCTAGACTTATTATCAAATGTGAAGACATTATCTATGATGGAATATATATGAAGTCTAAAAGAAAATGCTTTAAAAATCTTGAAAAAATAGAAATTTAGAGAAAATCTGGTGTGAAATTCTTAGTAATTTTCTATAGGACTAGAGGTTTTTTTTAGGATAATTAGGGGGAAAAATGGCCCTTTTAACCAAATGCTATTGACTTTAAAGACCTCCCCTCTTGAGTTGTGAGCCGCCCTGAGTCCCCCCAGGGAAAAGGGCGGCATATAAATTTAATCAAATACTCAAATACTCAAATAAATAAAATCATTTACTGTATACATTTTATTACGCTTAAACTGAACCATTACATATTTTAACAAAGAATTTTTTAAAGAATTTCAGCGAAAACATTACTGATACATGTTAAAAGTCTGTTATTTTTAAACATTCCTCTAATTTCAGTAGACTGTGATTCTAAGAGTGGTTTTATTTTGTGAATGGGTTTGGAAAATTCTGGTTCAGAATCAGAACTCTACCAAAGTTTTAGATCTGGAAGATGGCTACTATCCTAACTTACTAATGATTAAATATGTTCTGGGAAACATTTGAACTTCATTTATTCTTATGCAATGCACTGAACATTCCTATTTTCACCAGTTTCCCCTTCCCCTTCTCTATTTTTTTTTGGAATATTATAGAAGAAAATGCTAAAAGGACAAGGAACATTTGATGGACAAGGTAAGAGCTGCTTGGGTATACTGTACTTATTTTTAATGATAAATTGCAGTTAAGGCGAACCTTTTTGGCTCCGAGTGCCGAAAAGGTCACATGGAAACGTTGCATGTACCCACGCTTATCGGGGTTGTTCTCCAGAAAAGCCAAACTTCTGGGTCCTAGCATGCATGCACAACACTCAACTGGCTGGCACACATGCGCAGACTGGTTTTTGGCAATGCTGCACACGAGAAGGGATAGTGCTTCGGAAAGGCTGAACTTCCGGGTTCTGGCATGCAAGTGCTCCCGACAATTAGCTGGTTAGTTTTCTGTACCGCTGTGCGCACGAAGGACAGCTGATCATCACGCACATGTGCACTAGAAACCCAGAAGACCAACAGGCAAGGTCGCGCATGCCGGTGACATCGCTTCGCGTACCACTTTGGAAAGGCCTGCCATAGGTTCGCCATCACGGATATACTGTATAAAGAGGTGGAACCAGGTTAAGTTTTACACCGCAAAGCAAAGTTTGGATCAAAGGTGTAGATTTTTCTGTTTATATTAAGAGGGTGAGGGAAAACAACCAAAGTTATTGCAGCAAATATAAAGTAGCATTATTGTTGCAATATTTAGTAGGGTTCTTCCGCTGATATCATGGATGTCAGGACCAACTTCATAATGTATTTAAGGAGAGTAAAACGGGAGAAGAAAACTTCCTATTGCAAATAATAGTTGCAATTCTGTCATATTGTATAGTTAATGATAGGAAATGCAAGGTATTAATCTTGTTATAATGGTTACATAAGCATTGGTTATGTCTTATTTGCAGGGGTTTCCCATCTGTTCTCATGGATATTGTGATTTTTTTTTTGATATCATTGTTATCATTCTTGGCTATAATGTACATATTTTTATCACTTGTAGGCAACACTATGTTTGTTGGTTATTTGCATTTCAAAAGTCTGAATTTTTTAATTCATAATTTTCTTTTTTTTTACATTGTTTAAGTTTTCTCATCAAGCATTTTTCTTTAACATCTTGTTCATTCAATGTCTCATATTTCTTAATTTGAGACTGTTTCATTTTTTAGCCACAATATACATATATTGCTTTATGCTGGTCTGTGACCATAATAAAGGCTTGATTTGGTCTACATATGCTGCTGGTTTAATATATTGCAATTTTTAATATTTTTTCACACTTTCATTGGCATCATCACACTTTGTTATTATCAGTGTAACTTATTTATATATCCTATATTTTAGAAATTTTAGGCTTTTAGTCCAAGTTGTAATTTGAACAGTTGAAAAGTAACATGATAAATTGAAAGCAGGGGTGAAGTCCAGTTATTCTTCCCCTATTCCAAGAGTATTAATAACAGGAAAGCAGACTTGATAAGTTTGATCCTATGTATATATGCATAGAACTAACTTCTATAGAATTCAATAAGTAATCATAAGATTCATATCTAGAAAGAATTGAAACATAGCTCAGCCTACTTTCACAAAGTCATCTTATGGTTGACTTCTTAGGTTTCTTAACTGATTGTGTGTCTATTTTTAAACTGCATTAATTATTTGTCATTTATCTGGAATGTAAAGACTCAAATAGGGCTATCTGGGGTTTTTGATTGAAACTTCAGATACTTAGGTCAAGTTTATTTATAATAACAGTATGGTACTGTGGATTTACAATATGTTGCTCACATTATCAATTTCTTGAATCTTAGGGTAATATATGTTTAGTATTTAAAAAGTAAAAGAAATCTAAATATCAGATTAGGTATAATTTATGCAACATGATAAAGTATGGAGTTATTTGATTGACATTTTAATAGACATGAGAAAAAAAACCAATATTTAGTACTCAACTCTAAGATGTTGCTTTATGCACTTTAGCTCTGCATTTGCAGTTATAATTACAAGAAGCTAATTGATTCTGTTTAAAGTTTCAAATGATTTTATACCTTGTTTACATACCTTGCTAACAAGATAAATTGGTCAACTTTCATAAGAACTTTTTGTGTTCAATCATCCACAGGATGGGAGAAATAAAATAGGTTCTTGTTTTTCCTTCCTGAATTTGGCTGAACTGATGTTCCTGTAATTTATAATATGCTTTCCCAGTGTCTGTTCTGAACAAAACTAGCTGTCCAAGAGAAAATTATTATAATTATATAGTCTAGAAGCATCTCAAATCATTTTCCTTTCTTGTTATTGCAGAAAATGCAGTGTTGTATCAGAATTACAAAGAAAAAGCTTTGGATATAGATTCCGATGAAGATGTAGAATCAAAAGAACACAAGTCAGATGAAAAAATAGTTATTCAATACAAACCTCTAAGATCAACATGGAGTCAACTGTCTGCAGTAAGTGTTGTAATATTAGTAAGTACCTCAAAGTTCAAATTGGAAACTAGTGATGTTTATAAGCAAGTTTTTTTTTTACCAGCCAATGTGAAGTTTTACAGCCTTACTTTACCCTCAATTACGTCCCAAAGCAAAATGTTTATCAACATGCAGATACTATTCAATAGTTGTAATTGGCAAAGAGAGGTGGCTACTACATCTGCATTCCTCACTTTGATTCATGGTTTTTAAAGCAATCAAACTTAACTGGGTGGATATTTCAGGAAACAATTAGAGGTAAACTATTCTTTTATGGAAATGAAAACCTTTGATTCATTCTTAATAAAATAAGCAAAGGGAGCATGGTCAGGGTGATCCGTTCCTTCTTAACACTTAGGAAACCAGGGTCAAAATCTGGGTCTTTCCACAGAGCTTTTGGAAGATCTTCACATGTGATTGATAGAACAATATGGGTTAGCTATTTAATTGTCCAATGATTAATTGCACAGATTTTATTTGTGTTGTCTAGAAGCTCCACAGAATTCATGGAGCAAACAATACACCAATACATAAAGAATAAAAATACAAAACATGAAGAAGGAGCGACTGAGCAACTTTCTTTTACTATAAACGTTTAGGCAAACAAGGTCTGGCTCCGTACAAAGCTTTGCTTGTAATATATCTTTAAAGAGTAGTCTCTTTTAAAGCTATCAGAAGACTGTCTCAGCCTCTTTCCCTGTCCCCTCAATTCCATGTCACTGTTGTATTATCAAGGAACCATTGGGACTTCTTTCAAACTGGTCAAACTAGAATCCTAACTTTTTGGGTAAAGATTTGGAGATTGCTTTGTCCGAGTACTCTTTCCTTATTGGGGTCCTTCATTCTACAGAGAGGTGGTTACTGTTTAATGACTATTTGTTCAGCAATCATTTGAAATTTTAATGGCACTGGGCTTAATAACTCAAAGGTGCTTTTTTCAGGAGGCAACTGGATTATGTTCTTTTCTTTGAGGAAGAAGATGTTTCACTTTTCATCAGAGAAGCTTCATCAGTTCTGATTAGATAGTGGGGGGTGGAAGTGGGAAATGGAAGGATTATATTTTCTCACAGTCATCTGGTTGTTAACTTAGCACTCTCAGTGAACTGTTGAGGCTACTTGGAGGTTCACCTGAATCATAGTGCAAATGGTTGTGGATCTTTCTTGGAACTGCTGAAAGGACTGCATTGTTTTAGACAAAGGTGATGTCATATTCCTCCCCTTCTAATGAAGAGGGCTGTTCAGTTCTAACATAGTTGGCCTTTTTGGCCCCTCTGTCAAACCAATGGTCCCCTCCATCCAGAATGTGGACTTAATAGCTGTTACCAGAATTTGCAACTATTTGCAACTGTGACTATGTGATGAAAATTTGGACACTTGGCAGTCTGTTTATCTTTATGACCACAGGTGTGCTGCAACTTCTGCCACCTGCCAATCACCTTCTCACAAATAGTCATTCCAAAGCATTGTGAGAACAGCCATTATTCTCATGATTGTTTGAATGGTGGTGGTGGTGGTGGTGAGCAGGCCTGGACTTCCAAGGAAGTGGCAACCTTGTGTTGCACTTCAGCACCCTGCCAACTCACACATAGCCTGTGCCAAGCTTCCTGTGGCTTCCACAGTGCCGCCTTACCTGGCACTCCTTCCACTTAATGACTTGCACAATTGCTTAGCAACCACAACTAACAGAGCCAGGATTGCAGTCATTGAACAAAGAGGTCATGTGACATCTTTGCTTAGTGACTGAGTTTGGTCCCAATTGTGATTGTTAAATGAAAACTACATATACCGTATTTGTTTCATATCAAACCAATGTAAGTAACAGTTTTGTTTAAGAGAGATAGAGAGCTGTACAAAGAGCAGGAAAAGCCCAAGGGCATATTTTTCTGTGTATTTCTGTATGTCTAGCTTTCTATACATTCAGCTGCACCTGAACAGATGTTCCATTCCTCCAAATTCTAAACTACTAAACTTTTTAAGAGAATTCAAAAGATTCACTGTGAATGAATATTACTTAAATCTTTCTGAAACAGTGTGATTGAATTGGATTTCAACTCAATCAGAACATAATTTAACAGCATAGTTTAAAATTAAGCAACACCCCCCCCCTCAATCCTTTATTATTTTATCAACTGCTCTAAAAGGTTGTTTTCATTAACTACTCAAAGTTTGACCTATTGCAGTCAGAACAACCAACTGTGCTGTGCTGTTAATTTCCCACTGTGTTCTCTGCTGGATTAGAAGAGAAGATGGACTGAATCAGCTGAAATGGCTCATTGCAGGGAGCTTAAATTATAGTATGAACATCCAAATTTGGCCATTATCTTAGCAGTCTGATTATTGCTTCCATGGGGTTGCTTCCCCTAACCATTCCACGGGGCTCCTGCAGAGCTGTTGCAAAAAAACAATCATGCCACTAGTGCCTTGCCCACTTGAGATCAGGAGCCTCAGCATTATCAGACCAATATGAATGGATAATGCATAATGAAAATCAGTTCTGTGATATAACTATCTTCCTGCAATTTCGCAGATAAGGAAAAAATTAAAAAAAAATTAAATCTGTGTGTGTGTGTGTGTGTGTGTGTGTGTGTGTGTATCTATATATCTCTCTATATATCTATAGCTCTATATCTCTATCTATATATGCTGGTCTTGTTGTATTCGGGTCTTTTTCCATGTAAGATTGAGATTGTCTTGGCAACATTTCAGCGATGTCTCACTCGCCATCTTCAGGCTGGGTTTTGGTCTTAAGGTGTGATCGGAGCGGCCGTCTTTCTATAAATCTTGGTGGGTGGGTGTGGAGTGCTGGATTTGTTTCAGTAAGTGGAATGATTGGTTGTGTGGTTGTATCATGATTGGTGCTGGCTGTGATGTTTCGTGTTGTAACGGCCTGGGTGATGGGTTGGGCTCGTTTGTTGACTAGGGCTGGTTTCCAGATGTCTGGTAGGCGGGAGATATCGTCACATTTATTCATGTTGTGGGGGTGTTTATCTATTTCGATAGATTCCATAATTATTCTCTTGTTGAAGTGTTCTGCTTTGGAGATTAACCTGGTTCCTTCAAAATTAATTTAAGGTGCTGGAAAAGGAAGGAAGTTTTTTCTTTTTTTCTTACTGCGTTCTTGTGTTCTGCGATACGTGCATTTATTCTCCTGTTCGTTTGTCCTATGTATGTTGTAGGGCAGATTTTGCATGGTATTTCGTAGACTCCTTGGTTTTCCAGTTGGATTTTGTCTTTGAAGTTTCTTAAAATGTTGGCTATTTTTTGGTTAGTGTTGTTTAATTTATGTTTGGGGAAAAAAGTGTTCCGAGGAAAGTATTTAAAATA